AAGTTAATTAAATAAACAATCTAAAGTTGTGAATGAAAATGTATATAAGCAGATAAGGACTAAAGGAATTAGTACCTTTTTTTGTTTGATTGAGGAAATTATGTATCCTTCAGAAAAGACAACATAGAAAACCTTTTATCGAGACACCGGGRCACTTTATACAAATACGAGACATCTCTTAAAAAATGGKACAAAAAGGATTCTATTAGATTAAAGCTAATGAGCATTAAAATATCGATTATATTTATATGCAGTTATAAATGTCTACTATCGTTAAACAATTATCAGATTTTCCGATTGGAGTATTATTATACTATTTGAGTTTGGCGGCCATCATACAGGTAAATACAAATGTATAATAAAAAAGTGTTTAGGATTAACACCRCAATATTAGGTAACTGCTGTGCAGTGGTGTGTTATATATACACTTATGCCTACGTAAAGAAAAGCGGTCAGCACGCGCTGCGCAGCCCCGTAGGAGGTCATCGTCAGTCACCGCCATGATATATATAGAACATAAGTACGTATATATATATATATATATTATTATTTTGTTATTTATCGTTAGTCGACGTCCGTCGGTATACGTAATAGGTATATAATATGTAATAATAATAAACGCGGTAAACTGCTTAAGACAMTAAATTGGCCAYGGTCAGCCACCTCGCGGTCCTCATTTACACTCGCTGAGGTCTAAAATATTTTGTTTTTCAAACGAGGAAACAAAAACTTAAAAAAAAAACAAACAAACAAACCACCCCGTCGCCAGTCACAAGGTTTTTGATTTCGGGATTGATTATACATACATATTATTACAGTTGAGATTTGCCGCTGAGAACAATCACTTCCTAGCATATATCTACAATTATCTCCGGGTGGAACAATTTTTATTTACTTTGGTTATAACTTATGTGGCCTTATGCATGCCTATGTTGGCTGTGTAGATATAATACACATTACACACGTCATTTAGTTTAACGTGTAATCGCATGTGTACATAAATTAACAGTAGATTATTATATATGTACTTAAATACTTTATACTATAAAGATTAAGTATATATACAAATAGTACATTATACATCAGAATCAGATCATACATTAAATCTGGGTACAAAGAGATTTTACTTAAATATGCGTTTATCTTAATTTTGAATTTGAATACCAACCTTGAGAAGAAAAAAAAACATCAACAAAAATTTTATACGTATTTCTGTATTCTCTGTTATGTATTACATTTAATATGCTTAGGGTTTATGGTGGAATATTMTATTCGTATGACTGTTATTGTTATAATGTATTATGAATTACAAWTGAATAATAATGTTTTCTGCTGGTAAAATGTTACCAACAATAATGTAACCATCACAAGACGCTAATATAATTATAGGCAATAGAAGTTGAAGTAAAATAAAATGAAGGTCAYAGAAGGACAATTACAATAGGTCATARGACTTCAACATTCRAAGATGCAGGATTGACAACATTTTGTAGTGTATTTAACGCGGGTGATATAAACTGATCTAATGAATATATAGGTTTTCAAATTTATATAAATATATAATTGTAATAAATTGTGAATGTTTTAATTGATTCAATTTTTATGGTGTATAATGTATTCGAGTTGTTAACTATACAGACGTACATCATAAAAAGTGTTTTTAAAAAGCCATAAAAGATAATTACAGGCACAATAATGCTCATGTCATGTTCTATTTCTCTTAATCGGGAAACTATTCGATTTGATCCAAATATAATAACGGAAGATGATAATAGGTATGTACTTATAATAAGATATTTGTTTGAATAATGTTTATTTTATTGTCTGAAAAACTTAATTTTAATWAAATTCAATCTTGTATAATATTATGAGTTAGTTTACCATCAKACTATCATAGTATTGCGCTTTAAGTTTTTTTCGACCTTGTATAAAAATTCTAAAGTCAATAAGTGTTTTAAATTATTACCTTTTGGAATTTTAATGATGTTAATATATAGGTTATACACTTAAACGTTATTAGTTTATAAATTTAATGTATATGTGCAAGAATTTTGATTGGGAAATAATGAACGCATGATTACGAATGTAATTGAAATTGAATAGCTTATAGTTGGTTTCATTTTTACCATAATAATATGGAGATTGGACGAGTGTAACATTTTTTATTTTCTAATCATTTTCAAGTGAAAATTATAACAATATTTTTGAACCGTTGCTTTTATTTATAAATTTGTTTTTCTTTTTTAAATTTGTTAAATTACATTATTTAACGAACGTTTTTAAATTGTAAAGAATGATATTTTTATCGGGCATGATGCCTTAGAAATATAACGTAATGAATGTGCGTAAACAAAATTAACTAGGTATACATTTAAATGGTTTCGTAGGCGTTGGTGGTYTTATGGGAATCGATCACTCTTTTTATTAGATTTTTGATACGCATTAACGCGTGTGCATCGATTACACTGTGTGCCAGTATATGTCCTAGATTATTAGTGTACCAATTCAGCCACCGACAATCGATTG